GCGCGAGGGGCCGGGGGGGCGCAGGGGGGAGGTGGGAGCGAGGGGCCTGGGGGAAGTGGGTTGGGGGGAGGGGCCTGGGTTGAGTGGGGGGGCAGGGGGCGGGTCTGGGGGGAGTGGGCGTGAGGTGCCTGGGGGAGGCAGGCGTGAGGGGCTGGGGTGGGTGGGTCTGGGGGGAGTGGGAACGAGGGGCCTGGGTGAGACAGAGTGCGTTAGAGGTCAGGGGGAGGGTGTGGCATGGGGGAAGCTAGGGGGCTGGGTGCCTGTTGGGGTGTGGGGGCATATCTGAGGGGAGTGGGGAGCTAAGAGTCTGGGGGGATGGGGGAGTTAGGGACCTGGGGGTCCAGAATCAGGGGCAGGGATGATGCGAGGACGAGTAGGAGGAAGCGGAGCTGAGTGAATACCCTTCCCCATCCCATCAATGAGGGGTTTGGGAATGCTCAGGAAATGGGACATAACCCGGGGTGGCCCTCTCCTGCCGGAGGGTGTTATCCAGTGCCTACTAACCCTGAGGGCAGGGAGAGGGAGATGAAGCAGGGGAAATGGGGTGGGGAGGGAGGAGACATTGAGGTTTGGGGAAAGGGGTGGAGTGAGGGGTGACCCACAGGGGCCCTGAACCCTGCCCCACAGATTTCAGCCTACTGCCCCCCACTAACCTCCCAGTGTTGTCCCTCTCTGCAGGCTGCCTCTCCACTGCAGGGGCTCTGATCTATGGACTCATTTGCTTCCAGAAGGGCAATACCCACCAGTCCCAGGTGATGATGCGGGCCCGTGTCCTGGCTCAGGGCTTCACCATTGCTGCCCTCATGGTGGGGGTAGTGGCCACAGCAATGAAAGCTCAGAAGTGAGGTCAGGCTGGCCACGAGCCGCAGTCTCCAGGAATGGACAGACAACCTTTGCTTCATGTCGCAGAAATGGGCCCTTTGGCTGCTCTCATCTTGCTGGGGGACCAGCTCAATGGTGGTGGAGCAATTATTAAAGATCCTACTGGGTTCTAGAGTTTTGGAAATGCAGCGAATACACCTGAGTAATTCAACCTAAAACCTGACCCGTGAGATTTCTTGACTCCATGGGCACTCATCCTTTCCTGGGGGACCCACAGGCAGCATCAGGATAAGGCCTCTGTCTCTAGCACCCAGCATTATTAATGGCCGTTGAACCCATTGCCTTGGTGACCCCCATGGGGAAGGGGCTGTGCTGGGGCTTAGGCAAATCAAGTGATGCACCTTTCCGGGCAGGGAGTGGGAGCAAGAGAGCAGTCCCCCTCTCTGGAGCTAGATCCTGTCTAGAGAGATCACATCCCATGACCAGGGCTTGTCTGGAGAGAATGGGTGATCAATTAGGTTACCAACCATAAGCCAACTGCACCCGTGCTTCGTAAAGAGAAAATTGCAGTGAGATTCTGATCAGGACATTGAATTCCAAAGCAGAGGGAAATTGTGAAGGGTTCTTCCATACTATATGGAGGGGGGGAGAACAGGTAGAGAACCACTACCTTGCTGCTGTAGTGATGGAGATTAGGACACAGGAAATGTAGCTTCCTGTTAGAATGTGTGAAATTGGAGGGTTTCAAAGGTGGGGTCAGATAAGGTCTATGGTTTTTTAATAATATTTTGATTGGAGTTTAACTGCTGTGAAACTAATCAACCTTTGTCAAGAACTAAAACTTCCTGCGTTCTGAGTCTCTAATGCCCAACGGGAGCAGTATTTTCTCCTGTCTTAACAAACTTCCCAGCAGGAGACTCCATTTGAAAGCTCTCCATGCATTAATTGGAACGTGTTTAGTATTAACATTGAAAGATGGGGGGGAAAAACCCAGATAAGGGCAAAAATCTCAATGAATAAGGATCCTCCTTTAGCAGATATTGATGTAGTTCCAAAGTATTATAAAGAATCTTTGGTCTTCCTAGGTCAGACATGCAGAGCTGGGGTGGGAGGATTTAATGAGAGGGAGGGAAATGGGTCTGTTGAATCTAATAATCATATCTGCTGGGTGTAGTTCTCCTGTCCTTCCTTTTGGCAGCTGCGTAGTGCAGGACTCTGATGGAGAAAGGCAGAAAGCAGATGGTATTGACAGCACCAAACTGGTGGCTGGGGTCCTGCATTGAGCAGCTGACAAAAGGAAGGACATGAGGAGCTACACACAGCAGACGCGATGATCTATGCAGAAGATTTGTGCCATGAGGGGGTCTCCATGCCATATTGTGTCCAGGGAATCTTTGTGACTGGGGAGGGTCCCAGCTTTCCTCTCGGATCCCGGGAGGTTTGCTGCCCTGTACTCGTAAACAGAGCCAAATGGCCTAGAATCTTTGAGACAGTGAATGCAGAAGCCTATGAGGGCAGATTCTCTGAGTAGAATAAAGCTACTTGGAGCTGGACAGAAGGAAGTCAGAGAACAAAGACTCCCATCCCCCTTCCCCTGGCCAGAGCCCAGGGGCTTGCATTGGCCATTTGGATGGACAGGGGGTTTTGTTTCAGTCAACGGTGCTGTGGCTTTGCCTCTCAGCACAGGAGGAAGGGATTGCCGGGTTAGTCTGACAAAGTGCCTTGTTCGTTTGCAATCTGGCGGGGCTCAGAGCGGTGGGGTTGGCTCATCTCACCCAGCCAGGATCTGCTTCACAATGGGTTGTTTGGATTTAAGGTAATGGGAGTTTCGCTATAGCTGACGCCCTAGCGTCAGGCATGCTGAGGTCCTTGTCTCTGTTGGGAATAAAGACAGCCAGGTCACGTGAAGCTCCGCTTTGGAAGTAGCCCGTAGAGTCAATTCAAGCAAGAAGAGCAGGTCCTGGGAGGTGGCCTGCAGGAGGCCAGTGCATTTGTATCTGATCATGTTGACAGGTGAAACTGTTTCTCTTCAGTGGGGGTGGCGGCTGCTGTTAATAAACCTTCCTTTGGCTGAAGAAGCTCCATGTCTTGGCTCTATCCCTTGTGCTACCTCCAAAGAGGACTCTGCATTGCACAACTGAAGCTGACTTGTTTCAGGCCAGGGGGCAGCTGCTTCTACCATCCCATCCAGCAAGGCTCTGAGCACCCCTCCCCTGGAGCCTGGGGGCACGTGCCCAGTTCCGGGAGAGGGTCCGCACAACAAAAGCTTCCCCAGATGCTGCCGTCTGAATGGAGCGAGACTGGCGATGTCCGCTCAGGAGAATCCAGCTGTGTGGGGGACGCCCAGCTCCAAACACGATCCTGATTAGCTCTCTGCTTCCTGGAGGCTCCGAATTCATCAGCCACCCCGAGCCGAGCCCACAGCAACTGCTGGAGGTAAAGCTGCAGAGTGAACCCAGCTCACTCCTTGAGGTTGGCTCCCCTCCCTAAGGTCTCCTTTGAGCCCTGCTGCGAGCGAGGCCCCAGGCTGCGGGGTGCTTTGCGGGCTCAGCGCCGCAGCGGATTCCCCCACGCCCGCTCGGAGAGACACGTCAGCCTAGAAAGAAAGCGAGCGGCTGCTCCTTGGGCTGGGTGGGACATGTCAGTTTATTTGTACAAGGTCACATATACCAAAGCTGGGGGGACACAGAACAGCCAGAGCTGCCACCCGGGATGGAGGAGGATCCGGGCCCTTGTCTGTAAAGCAGCAGCACCAGCTATCACCCTGGGGTCCTGCTCCCTGCTAGAAATGAGGGCGGGATGCCTAGGCCGTGCTTCCTGCTGGTAGGCGTACAAGGCAGGGTAGGGGGACTCTCCCATGGGCTAGCCGGGCGGCTTAGGCTCCCCAAGCCTGCAGAGGCTGGGCTACCGCCCTCAGCCGCTGACACACCCAGTAATTAACAGACCTGCCCAGCAACGAAGCCTGGGAGCGGCCCGCACAGCCTGCGTGAGAGGAGGCATCGCTGTCACTGGCATGAAAGTCAAACCCACCCTCCATTCGTGCAGGCGCTAGGCCCAGTTTCAGGCTGCTGCTCTGCCGCTCTCAGGGTCCTGGAGCAGGGAATCCCGGCCGGGCGTCTCGGAGCAGCCACGTCCTCCTGCCAAGAGCCGCAGCCCTAAACCTGAGCAGCAGGACTCAACTGGGGCAGGGCTGGGTCTGCAGGGGAGAGAGGTTCCCCTGTGCCTCACCCCCTTGGCTGGAAGGGGCTCCTGGCTTTATGGACTTTGCCCTGAGCTCCCTGCCAGTGTCTCCTCCCAGCCTGCTCTCCCCACCCAGCACACCAGGCTGCATGCCCTGGGCGAGCTGTCCCACGCCTGACCCAGTCCCTGCCCAAGGCGAATGCGGCCAGGACAGAGATGGC